ATATTAGCATAAACTCATTTATAATATAGAGAAATGAGACAGTATATTGTTAGAATTTAAATATTTAAAAAATATATATTACATTTTATAAATTAAATTTATTTTACTATTAAAGACTTGATCAAAAGTTAATTGTCTTATTTAAAAACACATTATTTCAGAATAATTTCTTAATTCATTCTTATAATTAATTTAAAAATAAGAGTTATAAAACCAAATATCCTATAAATAGAATAAGTTACTTTTTTCAAAATACAGTGGTCCTTCATTTTTTTCAAATTACTCATGTTACTTTATTTTGAAAATATTATTTTGTAGAGAAATGTATTTTGGATTAAATGATTTTATGGATAGTACATATTCATAAAATATTATTATAAAATTGTAACATTCTAAGATAACATATTATTTATATTTTTGTTTAATTAAGTCACAAGTAATTTTTGACTCAGAGGACACTATTTATATTTTTGTTGCACTGATAAATTTATTTTCTATAAAAGAGTAAATCACATTAAAAATAAATAAGTTTTTCATACTTATTTTAATAATATTTTCTTATTAATATTTCCTTAATAAGTTAACTAATTATCAATTTTATTGATTTTGTAACCAAAGTATAATAAAGTAACAAGTTACCATAAATCATAATTAAAATTTTGGTGGGTTTTTTACAATACGAACTAAGTTTTCTTTATGTTAAATATCCTTTATGGTTCTTCTATTATTGAAAAAAAAAAATTTATCCTTATATTGAAAAACTCTCCTTTTTAGTCCCTAAAAATTGAAATTTGACCTCTTTTTGGTTCCTCCATTAAAATTTTTTACAAGTGGCAGTTAATTAATGAAATTATATGATGTGAAAAATTCACTTTGTAAAAAAAAAAACATGATATAGACATATTTTTAAGTAAACGTCAACATTTTCACCATTTTAGCGTTTTTTTTCTTTTTTTTAACCTTTGTTGGGTTTGCACGCTTGGCTGCCTGAGTGAGTTCGTGACAAACCCAACGCATGCGCGCACTTGGGTTTGTGATGAACCCAACGTGCACCTGGGCTTGTGACAAACCCACCCAGGAACACGATGGGTTCATTATGAACCCACCCAAGCATGTTGGATTCATCACGAACCTAGGCATGAGCTGGGTTCGTCACGAACTAAGTGCTCGTGCATTGGGTTCGTTGTGAATCCACCCAAGTGTGCGCTAGGTTCGTCATAAACCTAGGCACGAGTTGGGTTCACAACAAACCCAACAAAGGTGAAAAAAAAAAAAAAAAGTAAAAAGGGTAAAGATACTGACATGAACTTAAAAATATGTCTATATCATTTTTTTTACAAAATGAATTTTTTTCATCACATAATTCCATTAATTAACTGTCATATGTGAAAAAATTTAACAGAAAAATTAAAAAGAAACTGAATTTCAATCTCTAAAGATTAAAAAAGAATTTTTTTCAGCACAAAAATCAAAAAACAGTTTTTTTCCAATAATGAGAACCAAAAAAGGCATTTAACCTTTTCTTTAAAATGCCTAACATGCCAAGCGCGTAATCACATCTATTCATCCTAGGTGTATATGAACCCCTGAAACCACAATCTAGCCGCCTAGACAATGCTACCAGCCACTACCAACTCGTAGGCATGCTTTTGGCAACATTGTTTTTCTTTACTTCCCATGCATTATAGAATAGTGGCAAAAGAGTAGAAATCACCGATCACAATTCAGTAGAATAGAGGGAGAGTTATACTTTAGCTTTGAAGTACAATGTTTATGGCTTTGTGAAGTAAATGAGAGTGAACGCGCTATGAAAGTTGGTTTGATGTGTTTATTTGAAACGAAAAGCAGTAGAGACTTGATAGGAACAAATGAGTTAGTTGAGGGGCAAATCATTTGGTCACTCAAATTTCCGAGCCTCTCTTCTGATAGAGGGGAAACACAGAACCTTTCTCTGCTCAACTCCACCAAAAAACTGGCTCTCCAACTAGAGCACCAAATAATGCTCTTGGACTCAATTGGTGCATGTGTATGGAGCATACCTAGTTTCAGCTTTGGAAGCATTTGTATGTGTTAAAAAAAGGAAAACGGAAAAACTAAAACCAAACACATAGTTTAAAACATCAATGAAAAGAAAACCAGCAACCACAAATATAAAAGGTTTTGTTCTACTTACATGATGGTCATTTAAGAGTCGTTACACTCATTCAGCTAGAACACCAAGAACACAAGATAGACATAATCACACATACTGCACCAACATTCCCTCACTACGTTATGAAGAAGACTGATTCAGAAGTCTCTCAGCAGACTCCAGTTCTTTTTTGATCTACAAAACGCTTCCAGTACTGGGTGACCTCCTCTTCAATCTCTCTCTCACTCTTTTTAGCGGACTTCCTCCCTTGCACTGCATCAACAGTAGCTGTTATGTGGGTGGTTTTGGTTGGAAGTGCGTCCATTTCCTTCAAAACTTCTTCAACATGTGAGATCAATCTCTCTGCCAGGGCTCGACTAAAATCCTCCCTGATCACAATGCGAAGGACAGCAATGTGTTGGGCATCCGGGGGCATGGTGTAAGCTGGGATGATCCAACCAAACCTCCTTAAATTCTCAGATATCTGAAACACAGTGTAATTGGTGCTGTCTTTAAGAGCAAATGCCACAAGCGGCACTCCTACTTCCTTGGAGAGGATGTCAAAACGCCCTGTTTTCTCTAATCCTTCTCTCAGCACTCTTGCATTCTCCATGCAGTTTTCAATGATGTTCTTGTAGCCCTTAGTTGAGCCAAGAAGCAGAGAAAATAATACAAATGTGAAGAGCAATTAGCACCATATAAGACCAGAACCCAATTTTCTTAAACGTGCTAATTGTGACAAAAATTAAGACGTCTACCATGCACAAAATTAACAAAAATTACCTGAAAGCCAAGCCGAATAAATTGATAGTATTGAGCAATTATTTGACTAGAGCCTGCCATAATTGAGAAAATAAATGCTTCAAAACACATAAATACAAATGCCAAAGACGCAAGCATTCACAAATTAGTGTTTTTTTTTTTTTTTTTTCTAATGATAATAGAGTATGAGATGATAAGCATGGGACCGAATTTATACATATATGGCACAAGCATACCTACAAAGATAAATGAATGCATTTGTACATCACCTTTGGAGAAGTTGAGGGTGAATGTAGGCTGATCAGAGCCAAGGTAGTTGATGTGAAAGACAAGCTCCTCAGGTAAGTGCTCTTTGTTCTTCCAAATAACCCAACCCACACCAGCATATACAAGGCCATATTTGTGGCCGCTAACATTTATGCTTTTTACCAATGGTAGACGAAAATCCCACTCAAGATGCGGGAAAAGGAAAGGAGCAATAAACCCTCCACTGGCAGCATCTACATGAATTGGAGTATCCCAACCAGTCTCCTTGTTCTTCTTCATGAGGAGTTCGTTGAGGCGCTTCACATCTTCAAACTCTCCAGTGAGTGTTGATCCAAGAATGGCTGCCACGCAGATAGTGTTCTCGTCCACCATCTCAACAGCCTTTTCGGGATCCATCACATAACATCCCTCTCTCAGCTTCACCTCCTTCAACTCTACCTCAAAGTACCTAGCAAACTTCTCCCAGCAAACCTGGACGTTAGCTCCCGTGACAATGTTGGGCTTATCAAAGGGTTTCCCCTGCGATTTTTGTCTATGTTGCCATTTCCTTTTGAAAGCCAATCCAGCCAGCATTATAGCCTCCGAGGAACCAACAGTCCCCACACCAATTGCAATCTCATCATCTCCAATAGGAGCATGGAATAGGTGTGCAATCATGTTTACACATCGGTTCTGTAGACAACTAAAACTAATATCAATTTCTTGATGCCTTAAACTGATTAAGATATCCATAGCAGCAATAAAGAGAGAAATCAACCTGAAGCTCAGTAGTGACAGGGTATTCATCCATGTCAACATAGTTCTTGTTCATTGCAGCCATTATGAGTTTATCACACTCAGGTTCCATCCATGTTGTAACAAAAGATGCCAAATTCAGCCTTGGATTTCCATCAAGCATCAGCTCATCATTTATTACTTGATATGCTGCCTCCTTTGGCATAGATTCCTCTGGCATCCTGAACCTGCATCCATACCCAAGACATTAAGTAAGAAAACAAATTTAAGCCTTCTAATACTAGTTTCGTTACTTATTGCAATGAAATGTCTATACCTTACCTCTTTGTATTAATTAATAAAAATACCCAAAATTTTAAAAAATATATTTAATCTATTAAATTGAAAATAAAACTTTAAAAAATTTGCTTTACTCTCAACACTTAACCCTGTCTTATTAATCAATGAAAAAATGGAAAATCAAGACATACTCACATTTTAATATATGTCCAATTCACAACCATAAATCATGTGGAAGTGGAACATAGTGTGGGTTCTTGGTATGTCCCATCCATCATGGAGCTATAATTAATACCAATAAATACATCCTGATTTTCTGCTTTCTGTTAATCAACAGTTGGTTAATAAAAATAGAATTTCTTTAGCAAGAACATATTAGGTCCATCAGCACAACGGTTGGTTCTCTGATCAAATGCCTAGCATTTGGATTTTGGTTTCCTAGTTACAAAAGATATTAGGTCCATTATATCTTCCAAGTATTAAAAGTTATGCTGCACATAAACTGACTCGAACATACTTTGGTCGCTAAACATTAAAAAAAAAAAATTTATATAAGATGGTTTAGTAGTTAAATTGGTAAAGAGAAAAATGTTTGTATATAGTTTATACCGTAAAATTACTTAAATATCTTTAAATTTATTTTTATATTATTTTCTCAAATATATTTAAATAATTTTATAGGATGAAGTACATATAATCAATCCTATAAAACAGCTTTCAGATTGGTAAAATTGATCAGTTTAGTGGTAAGACCAGTGATCCATGGCCAAAACAGTTGATCAATAATTTGTTTTTAAGAACACTGCTAAGTTCTAAGTTCAACTCATGTACAGTTAGAGAGAACTAAATGGGCAAAATAATTATCTTCGTAATAAAAATAAGTTTTTATGTGATAATAACAAAAGAAAATAGTCTCCATCCGTCTTGCTTTTTAAAAATTAAAAAAAAAAGTATTTTAAAATTACATCATTTTAATATATTTATATTGAAAAAAAATTAAACTACCCTATATTGTGTGCTCTAAAATTAGAGCTGTTGTTCCCCAAATTACACCATGCTATGAGAGAAGGAAAAAAAAAAATCAAGATTCTAAGTAGAATATAAATTGCACTCCCTTTAATCGTCTGTCTATATATATATTGGATGAAGTCTGTCTATATATT